ATATGGATGTTGAGGTTGTTTTTGAGGTGGATATGGATGTTGAGGTTGATCTTGGGGTGGATATGGATGTTGAAGTTGATATGGAGATGGGTATTGAGATAGATATTGAGGTGGATATGGATGTTGAGGTTGATGTTGAGATTGAGGTTGATATGGAGATTGAGATTCAGGTTGAGATTCAGGTCCTGGCTCAGTGGATTTCATAGACTCATCCCTATCAGGAGATCCATGTCGTAACTCAAATTCATATTCAGATTCAGGTCGAGAACTACATGGAGGTCTATAGTTGGGATCTTCATCAAAGTACATTTTCAGAGGAGATAGAGTTCGAATATCAACGTCGGCTGATAGTTTGTCAGATTTAATATAATATATGGGTTGGGGGGGTGGTTCGGGGGGTTCTGGGAGTGGTATGTTTAGTACTACATGAGCTGCAAATGGACATTCCCCAGTTGGAAATAATTTATATTCCGACACAAATGTTTCAACATCTTTGCTTCCTTCATCTTGATCTGTTTCTTGTACATCACCCTTATCGCCCTTATTGCCCTTATCGCCCTTATTGCCCTCATCGCCCTTATCGCCCTTATCGCCCTTATCGCTCTTATCGCTCTTATCGCTCTTATCGCCCTTATCACCCTTATCACCCTTATCACCCATGATTGAATTTAACCTTTAAACATTTTTTTTAATTTTCTCCTTTATAACAAGAAAATAGAAATTTATTTAGAAAAAAAAGAATAAGTCTGTATCATTGTAATAAAAAAGTCTATCTTTTATTAATGTTGTGATGAATAAAAAAGACGCTTATTTTACATATATCACATATGCAATATAAATAAAAGCAAATTAATTTTTCAATTATTAATATTAATAAGAGACAAATATTTTTATTAAAAACCTATAACTTTTCTCTGAATACATGTTTCATTTCTAATTTATGAAAACGATATTGTCGTCCCAAAAGTTCAAAACACGAACTTAGAAAAATAATTCAAATATACATGTTTAAGTTTATACAGCCGATAGTACTTCAAGGTTAAATAAGAACCGAAACCAAAACTTCTGATACTTGACCAAGATAATAATAAAAAAAGGAGCGATATATCAATTTCACAGAATATAATCAATATAGAATTTACATACACATATAGTATTTTGCAATAAAGATAAGTAAAAAATGTTACAAACAAAAGCCGCAACAAAGCAACACCGCCATATTGGCGGCAACGTGGTCGCGTAAATTTATACATAAAAAATACCTTCTAATTCAAAACAAATGATACATTGCAATTATAAAATGATAGCAAATAAACAATTAAACGAACTAATGAGAAATTGTCTAATTTTAATATTGTATCAATATATAAATCAATATATAAACCTTGTAATTAAATCTATTAACTGAATCTTGTAATTAAATCTACTAATTAAATCTTGTAACGAAATATCATAATAATTATGATAATATCATAATAATTGTAATCTTGTAAAATATATTTGTCATATGGTTTCTCTAAATTTATTTAAATAAATACGCTAAATTGTATTCAGAAAGTTGAAAATGTTTGCATAACGTCGGTATTGCAACTATTAAGTCTTTATAAACTAACGTTTAGGAAGTCAGTAATTTCAGCAAAAAATATTAGTAAAGTGTTGAATTAATTATAAAAAAATATCTTACGGTATACGACGAATTTAGAAAAAAAAATCGGCTACCGGATAATTTAATTAACACGCAATTAAATCGAAAACTGCAGACTCGATGTTGGAAAACACAAAACATACGAACTTGACCTAACGAAACCAAATTGTAAATAACGCATGCGTGCTAAGACAAAAATTGAAATCCTAAATCTGTACAGTACTGTAACAAGTAAAACATTTTTTGGATATTCTCTTATTTTTCTACATTACTATAAGAATTGAATGCTATAGAAATTTAAAGACGGTGGTTACGGAAAAACAATTCTAGTATGTATTTTTTATTAAAGATACTATATAGACATTTATTTTATGATAATATAACCTTTTAAGAAATTTGTTCTTATTTGCATATGTTGATACGTGAATGTAACTGCTCAATGCGCATGTCTCACATAAAAGCCAAAAGAATTATGGGTAATTTCTTGCTACTTTACTTTAAAAACATCGACATACATACGTGTTTAAAAAAGTATAGATATTCTATTCGTTCATGAAATTCACTATACCAATGAGACATTTTGATAACATAACCAACCATAAGAAACAAAATAATTAAAATTTTCTTCCGTTTTTGGTGAAATTATCAAATGAAAGGAGAGATAAAAAAAGAACTAAAATACGCTCGTTTTTAACAAACTTAACCTTTAAATTTGTATCATTTGTATATTAATAAGAATATATTCGTAAAAAATGGGAAAACAAAAGAGACAAAGAAGTAAACCCCATAAGCAGAATCCTACAGGACTTGTGTCTGTCAAGGATTTTGAGAGTGAAGAGATTGAAAATGTTACGAATGAAGATCGGGAACGTGCTCTACAGAGAGTATACGAAGAGGTTATCTTACATAAGATATTACTGCTCTATTTTTTAATATATAAAATTAACCGCGAATTTATTAATGTTACAGATAAAGTCTGTTAATGTGGAGGAAAAATTATCCGGATTGCAAGCAATTGAATTGATGTCATGCAATTCAGCACTTGCTGTGCAGATTGCAAAGAGTGAAATTGCTAAATTAGTTGGCCCACTACTTGTCGATGAGAATGTACTTGTAAGAGCTTGTAGTGCAAGTGCTTTGAGGTATATAGCAGATAATGGAAAAACAGAAGCACATAGAAGTTTATTGAAAGATGATATTATGACTCCATTGTGTACTTTGTTGACGCAAGTAAGTTTAAAAGAATGTTTATTTCTTTCTATTCTATTCTATTCTATTCTATTCTATTCTATTCTATTCTATCCTATTCTATAATATGGACTAATGTTTTTTATATAATTTGTAGTATTATACAAATTGGCAACCAAAGGTCGATCATAATGGGAAAGGCAAGACAACTGATGAAAGAGAAGCTTTTATCCAAGCAGTCACATTATTGTGGACGCTATGTGAACATAATGAATTTGCTATAAAATGTTGTAACAAAGATGATATTGTTTCTATTCTGACAAAATTTTTTGATATCACTTCCTATGGCATAGAAATTGCAACAGTTACAATGCAATGTTTATTATCTTTATCAGAAAATAATCCTATTGCTGCTAGAAAGCTTCAGAGCTGTGAAAATATGCTTATTCAGCTGTTAAATGCAGAAATAAAGGATACTACTATTTCTGAAGTAGTATGTTTTAAAACTGCCCTAAGCGGTTTATTGATTAATCTGATTAGTTATACGGAAAATAATTCTATAATTGTAGTATGCGAAGTGATAAATGTACTTTCTAATACACTTTCTATTGATTGTAAACAGTTATTATCCAATTTGACTTCAATTTTACCTCATGAAAAAAATGCTTTTTCAAGCAGTGCAAAGAAGAAGGTACAAGAAAACCGAAGGATTTTTGGTGCACAGCAACAAGCACTAGAGATTTTAGCCAACTTATGTTCAGAAGACCAAGAAAATGAGAATGAATCTGATTTGGAAGATTCAGATTGTGAGACTGGAGGTATAGATGATGTTTGTATGGATAATAAATTATACAAAATCTTCTCTCTCCCACTAGAAGTAGTGGAAGTATTTAATACTTGTAACATAGTAAGTAAAGTATGGGATAAAACTAGATTTGTGGATGAAGATACAATAGAAATATTACAACAAAATAATGAAGGAAAGGACATCTTAAAACAAGTTCATAAACTAAAATGTACAGCTTATTTATGTTTAAATAACTTGATGTCAAGTTTAGAAGTCGATGTACTTGGTGGTATGGAAAATATATATAGGTACAATACCCAAAATTTAATAACAAACAATAGCCAAATTGTTGGAATAAAATTATTTAATTTGTGCTCTTTTTAAGATTAGAATGTGGATGGACATTGGAACAGTTGTCTTCAAAGATACAAACCCAAATGATATTGAACTATTGGAGTCTGCTACATCAGCTATGAGAGCAGCTATTCAAAGGCTATCAAAAGAAGAAGCAAAAATTTTTAATCGGTTAACACTGGCTGACGTTCAACCAATGATAAACGGAGAGCGTCAATGTCCAAATACGAACGTCCGCGTGAATTTGATACGAACATTGGGTACTTTAGCTTTGATTTTAATGAACAATGATACTCCCGAAGCTGACGAGTTAATTAAGGTAAGATTAATAGATTTCTATTGGGCTAAACAATAAATGATCTCTTACATTAATATTTTTTCAGCACGTGTCTACGTTTTTATTAGACATTTGTAAGACGGAGTTGTCGGTTTGGATCATGGCAGAATCCCTAGATACAATAATGGATATATATGCAGAAGACGATAGCGATCAGTTAGCAAGTGAAATTAAATTAGTAGAAAAATTACACGTCCTGGCACCACTTTTTAAGAACAAGGTACGATTCTGCTTTCAACTTGAATATTTAAAACTATAGAATTCACACATCCTGAATTCGTGGTTACAATTATATTTTATTTATAGATGAGACAACAAAGGAAAAATTTAGGAGACAATGTTGCAATAGTGTCTACAGTGAATACAAATATCATGAGGTTCATAAGGTACAAAGAAAAAAGAATTCGAGATCTTTAGAAACCTTTTTGTTTTCTTTTCTTTTTTTTTATACATTAATATTGTTTTGTAAATTATATATACTAGTACATTAATGTACTAAATTAATATTTACAATTTGTAACAATAAAAGCTTTCTCTATCTCGAATCAACCAGTGATTAAATTTCATCGTGCTTGAGAAAAATCAATCATACAAATAGAGGCAAAAAATTCTGAGTTCTTTTAAATAAAATTATCAACATGCATTTCTCGTAGAGAAGGAATAGCACAGACCTAGTATAGTTTTCAGACTTTATTCCACATCAATAAATAACAAAACTGTTAAATAAACAAGAAATAGCTATGATCACATAATTTATCAAGGCTTCTTCTCTGTAGTAATAAGGTTCCAAATATGTGTAACCTTTTGAAGTATCTCGAAGAATAACATACTTCGCTCAAGAAACGTTGCAAAAATAATCCTGTCCTATATCTGTCTAGAAACCAGATTTCATGTGACAATTACACCTAAGACATACCTAAAGATACTTCAAACTATCAGAAAATATTTTAAAGCGTTAAATAAAGGCACATGTGTACACAATGTTTATACAGTCTTTGAAGATACATATCGACTAAAATCAACAGAGATACATATTCTTCTGTTCAATTTAGAGACTGAAAAGATTGCACAATTCCCTACAAGAATTTACTGTTCAAAATACAAACTTTAAAACGACTTCCCTCTGGTCGATTCGAGGTTCCTTCTAGTTTCATTTGAAATTATGGTAGGTTGAGAATCGTTCCGAGTCAAAGCACTGTGCCTTCTGGGTTTTGGAATCGGATTCACATCTTCAAGAATCTCCGGTTTTTGTCTTATGGGCTCAGAAATGTGAAGCTCAATAACTTTTACTGGCTCTCTAGGCGCTATTGTAGGAACAGGCGAGTCGTTTAGTCTCACCACATGAATGT